AAGAAGAGAAGAGAGAGAGAGAGAGAGAGAGAGAGAGAGAGAGAGAGAGAGAGAGAGAGAGAGAGAGTGAGAGAGTGAGAAGAGTGAGAGAGTGAGAGAGTGAGAGAAGTGAGAGAGTGAGAGAGTGAGAGAGTGAGAGAGAGAGAAGAGAGAGAGAGAGAGAGAGAAGAGAGAGAGAGAAGAGAGAGAGAGAGAGAAAGAAATGCAAATGTAAATGAATAAAGAAAATGCAAATCACATGAAAGAGGAAAAAAGATACAAAAATTAAACAAATAGACAAATAAAAAGAAGAAAAAAAATTGACATAAAACCCCTCAAAAAACCCAAATATCAATAATCCTCTTCATAATCATCAACACAGCATTCCCTTCCTTCGGACGTGAGAGAGAGAGAGAGAAAGAGAAAGAGAAAGAAGAGAGAGAGAGAGAGAGAGAGAGAGACGAGAGAGAGAGAGAGAGAGAGAGAGAGAGAGAGAGAGAGAAGAGAGAGGAGAGAGAGAGAGAGAGAGAACCGAGGAGCGTTCGCATATCTCATGAACGCACGCGCATCCGGTCAAGTTCCCAGGGTTGATGACGTCAATGAGACTCGTCGAACGATGCTTGCAGAAAGATCTTTTTTTTTTTTTTTTTTTTTTTTTTTTACTCGATCAATCCGGAACTTTCATTCATACGTGTGGAGGGCAATGCTTGGGATTTCGTATGGGGGTGGGAGGTGGAGGGGAGGGGTGGGAGGAGGGGGAGTGGAAAGGGGAGGGGAGGGGAGGGGAGGGGAGGAAGGGGGAGAGGAGGAGGGCAATGCTTGGGATATCGTATGGTGGATGGGGGGTGGATGGAGGGGTGGGGTTAAGAGAGGAAGGGGGAGGAAGGAGAGAGGAAGAAGAGGGTGAAGGAGTTCAGATAGAAAGGGGGAGGGGAGGAGATGAGGGGAAGGGGGAGAGGAGGAGGGCAATGCTTGGGATTTCGTATGGTGGATGGGGGTGGATGGGTGGGGGTGGGAGGGAAGGAGACGGAGGGGGTGGGAGGGGGTAGGAGAGGGGAAGGAGAGATGAAGGGGAAAGGGAGGGAGGGGGGGGAGGGGGAGAGCGAGGAGGAAGTGTTTTTTGGTTTTCGTATGATGGATGGGGGGTGGGTGGAGGGGGTAGGAGGGGGGGAAGAGAGGGAGGGAGGGTGAGGGAGAGGGGGAAGGAGTTGGGGAGGAAGGGGTACAGGAGGAGGGAGGGGATGAAGGAAAAGGTGGGGGAGGGGGAGGAGGAGAGAGAGAGAGAAGGAAAAGGAGAGAAAGAAACAGAAAAAGAGAAAGAGAAAGAGTAAGAGAGACACACAGACACACAGACAGACAAATATAGACAGACAGAGACAGAGAGACAGAGAGCGAGCGAAGAACGAGAGAGAAAAATAAACATAAAGACCAAAAAGATAATCTTGACATTTATCTAACGAATATCATCAATGTAAATATACAACGCAATACACACCCTTGAAAGCATCAGCGAAAGCAACCAAAGAATTAAAAAAAAACGAAAGAAAAGAAAAAGAAGAAATACAGCAAAAGCAACCACAGAATAAAAAAAAAAAAAAACGAAAAGAAAAGGAAAAAAAAGAAATACAGCGAAAGCAACCAAAGAATAATAATAAAAAAACGAAAGAAAAGAAAAAGAAAGAAATACAGCGAAAGCAACCAAAGAATAATAAAAAAAAAAACGAAAAAAAAGAAAAAGAAGAAGAAATAACAGTTTCGAAAAGACTTATTTAATACCGAAGGAATTCCCCGAGCTTGAATGACAAGGAGAGTTCCCGGATGTTCTGAGGTCTTACAAGATGCTACTCTCTGGGAATCCCATTTTGACCTTGGGTTTAAGGGCAGAGAGAGGGAGAGGGAAAGGAGAGAGGAGAGAGGAGAGAAGGAGAAGGAGGGAGAGAGGAGAGAAGGAGAGAGGGAGAGGGAGGGAGAGGGAGAGAAGGGAGAAGAAGGGAGAGGAAGAGAGGGAGAGGAGAGGGAGAGAGGGAGAGGGAGGGAGAGGAAGGGAGAGAGGGAGAGGAGAGGGAGAGGAAGGGAGAGAGGAGAGGAAGGGAGAGAAGGAGAAGAGGGAGAGGAAGGGAGAGAGGGAGAGGGAGAGGATGGAGAGGAAGGGAGAGAGGGAGAGAGAGTGTGCACACGCACACACACACACACACTTACACACTCTTACACACACACACACACACACACACACACACACACACACACACACACACACACACACACCACACACACACAAACAGCACACACACACACACACACACATATATATATATATGTGTGTGTGTGTGTGTGTACATTCATACATACGTACACGCATACAGGAATTCGTACGCACGTAATCCAGTCCCTTCCTTGTTCTCTTCTTTCGCCCACATTCGCATTCATGAACCTGTCCGCTCCCCCCCCCCCCCCCCCCCCTCCCTCTCAATTCATTCGGAGATCAAATGAACAATAGAGAATTCCTCTCTCGTTCTCTGTCTGTGTCTGTCTGTCTGTTTGTCTGTCTCTGTGTGTCTGTCTGTTTTTTCTTGTATTCGGTTTGTCTTTCTCTGTTTATCTGTCTATCTATCTATTTATCTATGTATTTTTCTTTCTGTTTCCTCTCTTTCTTGCTTTCTTTTCTTGCTGTTTCTTCTTCTTCTCCTTCTTTCTCTCTCTCTCTCTCTCTCTCTCACTCTCTCTCTCTCTCTCTCTCTCCTTCTCTCTCTCTCTCTCTCTCTCTCTCTCTCTCTCTCTCTCTCTCTCTCTCTCTCTCTCTCCCTCCCTCCTCCCTCCTCCTCCCTCCCTTCCCTCCCTCTCCCTCTCCCTCTCCCCTCTCCTCTCCCTCTCCCTCTCCCTCCCCCCTCCCCCCTCCCTCCCTCCCTCCCCTCTCCCTCCCCTCTCCCATCTCCCTCCCTCCCTCTCCCACCACCCCCTCCCCACCCTCCCTCCCTCCCCCATTCTCCCTCCTCCTAATCCTTTTCTTTCTCCAAATAAATAATTCACGCGAGGGCAGTGCCGATGACTGCCGGTGATGACTGATCCAGACCTTGGCATCGATGCTGACGATGACCGGTGACAGTGACACGGCCAGTGGTTTAGTCACGCTGGAGGAGGAAGTCGGGAAAGTCGGTCGGTGTGTCGGGTGGAGGGATTTTGTTGTTGTTGGTGTGATGATGTTGTTGGTGGTGGTGCTTGTTGTTGCCGTTGTTGTTGTTGTTGTTGTTGTTGTTGAAGACTTCCGAAGTGGTTTCGTCTGTCGGGTTTTGAGTTTCTGTGGGTGGGGGGTGGGTGTGGATGAGGGGATGGAGGTGAGGGGTTGGGTGGGAGGTGAGGGGTTGGGATGGGGTGGGTGGGGAGGAAGGGGTGGGATGTGAAGGAAAGGGGAAGAGAGGGCTAGGGAAGGGGTTGGGGGTAGAATATAGGAAGGGAAGGGGTGGGGTGAGGGTGGGGAAGGGCAAGGGGAAGGGAAGGGGTAGGAGGCAAAGGATGAGAGGGCAAGGGAAGGGGTGGGAGGGCGAGGGAAGGGTGGGAAGGGCGAGGGAAGGGGGAGGGGAAGGGAAAGGGGGAAGGGCGAGGGAAGGGGTGGGAGGGAAGGGAAGGAAGGGGTGGGGGGCAGAATCGAAGGCGATAGGTGTGTTGCGGCTTGAGAGAGGGAGGGAGGTATTGGGGAAGGGGGGAAGGAAGGGTCAATGAGACAGGGCAAGGTGGAAGGGGAAAGGGAGACGGGGGGAGGGAAGAGAGAAGGACAAAGAAGAAGAGCAGAGGAGGTGGGGGTAGAAGGAGTAGGAGGGGGGGAGAGGAGGAGGAGTAGGAGGGGGAAAGGAGGAGGAATAAGAGGGGGAAAGGAGGAGGAGTAGGAAGGGGGGGGAGGAAAGGATGCACATCAGCCATCAACAAATATTTTTTTTCTCCCTCTTTTCCTCCTCCTTTCAATAATGTTGGAGAGCGTGATAACTGGAGGAATAAGTAGGAGGAAAACCAATGATGAATGGTGGAGGGGGGGGGTAGCGAGGAGCGGGGGAGGGGGGGGATAGACAGGGAGGTGGTAAAGGCTAGGAGGCTAGGGAGGGGAGTAGGAGGATAGAGGGGGGGGGCGGGGGATGAGGGATACTTGTCAGTTAGGATAAGAAATGAGGTGAGATGATGCGAGGAAATGGGCTGACGTGATCGGATGGGATTTTCATCCATTTCTTTTTTTTTCATTTCTTTCCTTTCTTTTCCTCTCTGTGTGTGTTTGTTGTTTGTTTGTTTGTGTTTGTGTTGTGTGTTGTGTGTGTGTGTGTGTGTGTTGTGTGTGTGTGTGTGTGCGTGTGTGTGCGTGTGCTGTGTGTGTGTGTGTGTGTGTGTGTGTGTGGTGTGTGTGTGTGTGTGTGTGTGTGTGTGTGTGTGTGTGTGTGGTGTGTGTGTGTGTGTGGTGTGTGTGTGTGTGTGTGTGTGTGTGTGTGTTTTTTTGTATGCGTGTGTGTGTGTGTGTGTGTGTGTGTGTGTGTGTGTGTGTGTGTGTGTGTGTGTGTGTGTGTGTGTGTGTGTGTGTGTGTGTGTGTGTGTGTGTGTGCGCGGTGTGTGTGTGTGTGTTTCAGAGTTCCTTGTTGATACACTTTAATGTCCTGTTTCAGTGTTTTATATTTCATATATGTCTAATGATTACACTAATTAAGCGAAGTGAGGTATTAATTATACATTCTAATGAACACTCGGCCCATCTATCGCATGATACCATTACGAATGAGCATGTGACGTATTATCTATCGCGATGAATATCAATAGACAGTTAGTTTAGTAAGTTCAATAGACAAATAGTCGAATTGGGTGCCAACGCCCGTAGACTTCCTCGCTACCCCCCCCACCCCCTCCCCCTCCCTGCCACCCCCTCGCTACCCGAAGACCTCATACCACCGCAGCAGCAGCAGCAGCAGCAGCAGCGGCGGCGGCGGCGGCGGCACCAGCAGACAGACAAACGCACGCACACACACACACACACGGCGCGCAAGACTGTGGCGAGGAATTCTGTCTCACTCGCCGCCGCACTGTGATCGCGCGCACATCTCTGCCCCGCCCGCACCAGTGGAGACCCCGTGTGGGCGCGTGCGTGTGTTTGTGTGTAGTGTGGTGAACCCAGAAGCTCAGCGGTGGCTGTTGCTCACTTATTTCGGTGGCGTCGTTGGCGTTCTGTGCGTGTGTTTGTGTACCAGTGTTTACGGTGCTGACGGAGATTTATTTATTTTGTCGGGTGTGACGTGTTTGGTTTTGATCTCAAGACGAGGGAGAAGAGACTGGAAGAAGAGCAGTTTTTTTTTTGTTGTTGTTCTTCGTCGACGCCACTTCAGCGCCGTTCCCAAGTCCGGACTCGTCGATAGCCGTTCCGAGAGACGCTGTACTGTTGCCGCGTCCATTCCGGGATCAATTATGCCGATGGTCGCGTCTGCAATCTAGGCCAGCGCTGAAAGTCTCGAAGCCTTTCCGACCTCCGGCGAGTGCCATAGCAGCGGCCCTGAGCGGTTGCCAGTGCCTGTGCCAGCGGGAATAATATATTGTTTCCACACAACTCACTTTTCACACTTGTCTCAACATCCCAGATTGAGTTCAAGGGAAGGAGGTTCGTCACCAGGCGAGGAAACATTGGCAATTTGTCGCCGCTGACGAATTAGGTCGCAGGTTGGACTTAGGCGGGCACAGCCGCCGCCCTCGCGCCTGGCGTCTCGACCTGAGGTCACGCCGAGACTGTGATGAGATGACCCCGGCGCCGCTCGCAGCGTGTGATGAGCCAGCCCGTTGACGCAGTGGCCCCTCGCTCGCCCCGCAGCCCATGTTCTCCTCTGAGGGCGCCGCTCCCCTCGCGACCTCCCCCGCGCGACCTTGGCGTCCGTGGGCGTTCGTGGGTACGTGGCCCTCATGGGCGGCCAGTCAGCAGTTGACCAGACTCGCAATCCAAGCGCGCGGCTTGCTCACAGCGCATCGCGACGACCGACGGCGCGGTGCTCCCTCTGCCAGCGCTCCCCAGAAAGCCTCGCGTAAACAGAGCCTGAGCGGCGACTTCGAGGAAGCGAGCCTCCGCTTTCGGGTGCAGAGCCCGCGCGAGGCGCAGCGGGACCGCAGCCTGCTCATCGCTCCTCTCGGAAGGGGCGGCGTCTCGCGGGAAAGGCCCCGGCGACCCGCGCATAAAAGCGGCAAGCGCATTCGCCTCAGGAACAGTCTCTTCCTCTTCATCATGGAGGAGGAACGACTCAGCTTCGTGTACATGTTCTGCTCCTTCGTGCCGCTGGCCCTGCTGGGGCTCCTGCTGGAGGCGGCCGTGTTCATCTTTTCCGCAGTCGTCCAGGTACAGTATATGCGCCTCCCCCCTCCACTTCTTCGTGGCCGCCGTCGTCTCTGAAGACGTGTCTGTCTGCCTGTCTGTCTGTCTGTCTTCGACGGTCAAGAAAAATCCTGACCTTTGGCCAGCGCCAACAGTGCGTCGTGTGTTGCAGGCCAAATTGCAAGTCCTCTCCCCGCGCGAACACAACCGTTTCTGTCTATTTGAGTAAAGTTGAGGGTTATTGCTCCTCCGTTGCATAACCGGCGTCTGTTCGCCAGAAGGAGCGCCTCTGTCCTTCGGCGACCCGCTGCGCAACGCCGCTCTGATAGAGTAATTGTACTATAGTTTATGTGGATGACAGCGCCCTGAGGAGGCAGCGGCGGCGGCGGCGGCGGCGGTAACGGATACACTCTTGTATATTATCACCGGATTACACAATGGCGAGAAAAGAGCATGAAGGCAGCCTCTGTTATCTAGTTTCTTCTGATAACAGAGCTTTCCCAGCTCAGCCTCCAACCCCCCCCCTTTCCCCCTGCCCCCTCTCCCCCCCTCATCTGCTAGTGAACAGAGATCCTTTTTTCGTCAATTGCAACTTCTGATATATCTAATCTCTCAATTAGCAAGTTCCTCTCCCATTTCGAGGAGTTTACAAACATTAATCTGATAACCAGGGTATAAAAATCCTCACCAGCACTAAAGATAATCTACGTTTATTCAATATACATTTTTTTCTTTTCTTCTTTCTCTCTCTCTCTATCTATCTATCTATCTATCTATATATATATATATTATATATATATATATATATATATATATATATATATATATATATATATATATATATTTTTTTTTTTTTTTTTTTTTTTTTTTTTTTTTTCTTTCTCTATCTCTTTCACTCTCTCTCTCTCTCACTTTCTCTCTCTCACTTTCTCTCTCTCTCTCTCTCTCTCTCTCTCCTTTCTCCTCTCTCTCACTTTCACTCTCACTCTCATTCTCACTCTCACTCTACCCGCCCCCCCCCCCCTTTCTATCTCTCTCTCTTTGACTGATCATCTTTCTCAGTCAAGTTTCCCTTCGTCTGCCGTACCCAGTGATTAGTGTGATACCATCTGCAGTCAAGCTGTTGATCCCACATAATGGCTATGTACCTTCTTGACGGGGAGTTATATTTACTGTTGCAGTCACGAGACCGGCAACTCCTCCTTTCCTGCTCTTGTACAAGTGAGAGAGAAAGTAACTTGCTCCGTTCGTCGCTTCTTGTACAAGGAGAGGCAAGAGCGAGTAGGATGAAGTCTCGCTAAGTTTCGTTTCATGTACGAGTTAGATTAGTTTATCTTTATGGGTTTCTATAAACTCTTATAAATATGAAAGCCGGTATACTTTCGTGAAAGTCGATGTTAGAACAATTCCATTTCTAGTAGCGGAAGTAAAAGGAATTCCCATTTTCTTGTACAAGCAGACGTAAAAGCAGCTCCCGATCTTGTACAAGAGCCTGAAATCTAACCATAATGCCCCTTTCCCCCCTACCCCCACCCCTCCCAACCCACTCCCATTCTCACTATCTTCACAAATCGTCTGATTAATCATATACAAAATATAGGCCTAGAATGACAATATGGGTCAGACAAAATATCTAGTATTTTTTTTTATAACGAGGTTAATGATATGATTTTGATGGTACGTAACAAGATAAGACGACCGTAGAAGACAGCCAGTTTGATACAGAGGACTCACATAGATAATGGAGAAGATGATAAAGATATTATCATATCTTACAGAAAACAGCATCGTATACAAAGAGGATAACAATTGATATGTTTCTCTCTCTCTATCTGTCTATCTTATCTATCTATCTCTCTCTCTCTCTCTCTCTCTCTCTCTCTCTCTCTCTCTCTCTCTCTCTCTCTCTCTCTCTCTCTCTCCCTCTCTCTCCCTCTCTCTCTCTCTCTCTCTCTCTCTCTCTCTCTCTCTCTCTCTCTCTCTCCCTCCCTCCCTCTCCTCCCTCCCTCCCTCCCTCCCTCCTCCCTCCCTCCCTCCCTCCCTCCCCCCTTCCCTCCCTTCCTCCCTCCCTCCCTCCTCTCTCTCTCTCTTCTCTCTCTCTCTCTCTCTTTCTTTTTTATATAATCATGGAATCAACAGGTTGTTTGGAGGCGGGAAAAACACCCCTTAAACCTGCTAATGCCCCGGGATTTTTGAGGCAGAAAGGGCAATAAACCGAGAGATTTGTATATAAACAATCAACATACGGTTTAGGAAAATCCACAGAGGGGGGTAACTGAACTAATCCTGGTATCAACATGTTTTTTTTTTTTTTATATAAGCTTTTACATAAACATTAGTTGTAGGTTTTTGATTGACATTTATATACATCAGATCGTAAATGTATTTTGTTATATATTACAAATGCCTGATATGTATATTTACATTTACATTTGTACATTTTTATACACATTACATGCATTATGCATCATTATGCATCCAAAATATACCATAGGAAAGATACAATTCATACAGTACATTGTGCATAGAATACATCATGTATTGAATAATTAACCACATAGATATACAATGCATCACATACATACCACATACATTTTATACATAAACATATATCACATTTATGCCACATACATTTCACACATAAACATACACCACAGACATTTTACATAAGGCACTATTGACTATACACCATATAACTACATCACAATCGCCAAACTTAATTTTAAAGTTTGTTGCTGTTTATATTAAAGTTGTAATAGAATTAGGGCCAAAAATGGACTATTTGATCGGTTGAAAAAAAATTAAGATCTGTACATAACAAAGTAGAAATTACGTTCATCATCATCATCATCATCATCATCATCATCACCATCACCATTATCATCATCATCATCATCATCATCATCATCACCACCACCATTATCATCACCATCATCATCATCATCATCATCATCATCATCATCACCATCATCATCATCATCATCATCATCTTTACACCACCACCACCACCCACCACCCATCATCATTCTGATCAACATTATTATCATTATTTTTTTGAGATTAACAATAACCTCAACAACAGTCTTACACCAATCCTATTCTTTATAATGATTTTCCATATTATAATTTTCATTATTATGATTTTATTACTATGCGACCACCAAGTAGAGAGAAGGAGAGGAGTGGAGAAGAAGAGGAGAGGAGAGAGGAGGGGAGAGGGGAAGGAAAGGGAGAAGAAGGTAAAATATAAATAAGTGAGTCAGTTTTAAAGTATGTTTCAAACACTCACATTGCAAAGCTATGTTAGTGTTTTTTCATGTTCTTTTCCTTTTCTTTCTTTCTTCTTCTTTCTTCTTCTTCTTCTTCTTCTTCTTCTTCTTCTTCTTCTTCTTCTTCTTCTTTCTTCTTCTTTCTTCTCTCTTCTTCTTCTTCTTCTTCCTCCTCCTCCTCCTCCTCCTCCTCCTCCTCCTCCTCCTCCTCCTCTCCTCCTTCTCCTCTTCCTCCTTCTTCTTTATGCATATTTTACCTTATGCTTAACATTTCATAACGTCTTGTAAAACATTGTTATGAAGAACGACTGAAGAAAAATGGCAAATAAACTAAACCAAAAAAAAAAAAAAAAGAAAAGAAAATAAGAGAAACAGAAAATAGCAACACATGATAACATACCTTCCTTCCTCAGCAATATTTGCAATCAACTTCCTGGGATTAGTCATAATTCCTTCGATTTATATATATATATATATATATATATATATATATATATATATATATATATATATATATATATATATATATATATATATATATATATATATATATATATATATATATATATATGTGTGTGTGTGTGTGTGTGTGTGTGTGTGTTGTTGTTTTTTTTCTTTTTTCTTTTCAATAGCTTGATTTATGCCTCTGTTTACCAAAGCGAAATATATTAACAACCTTTAGTCATCTATCAAAGAAAGATTGACACTTGATAAGAAATCTCTAAGGGGGATCTTATCAACAGGACAATAAACGGACGAAAAATAAAGATAAGATATCTCTAACTTTAATTTAGAGTTATCACGGACTTCACAGATTTCGTATCGCTTGTAATCACGGTTGTACTTGTTATTTCTTAATTAGAGAGCTTAATTAGTGGACTTAATCGTCTCGTCATATTTAATAAGTCTTACAAAACCAAATTATACATTAACATCACATTAATAAGAAATGTCTTACGTAACCAAAGTAGGCTTAGTTTAAGATATTTATACTAATAACGGTAATGGCGTATTAATAGATATAAAAGCAAGCACCGAGTGATATATGCTGACAGACAAGCACACGTCAGAAGCTCAACATAGCATCATAATGTCAGCCTGTAATTCGTCTTCAGAAAACGCTACGTAAGCATGGCAGTGTTGCTGAGATTGCATATCTTGATAGAATGAGAGAGAGAGAGAGAGAGAGAGAGAGAGAGAGAGAGAGAGAGAGAGAGAGAGAGAGAGAGAGAGAGAGAGAGAGAGAGAGAGAGAGGAGAGAGAGAGAAAGAGAGAGAGAGAGAGAGAAAGTGAGAGTGAGAGAAAGTGAGGAGAGAGAGAAAGTGAGAGAGAGAGGAGAGAGAAGAGAAAGCGAGAGAAGCGTGTGAGGAGGAAAGAGATAAAGAAGAGAGAGATAAAGAACAATTCATGTTGTAATAGCACCTTGAATGACAGCTTGACCTGGTGTCTCTCGTGATAAGAATTTTATGAAGCATATAAGATTTTTGAACTGATAAATTCTAAATAATTTATTATTATTATTATTATTATTATTATTATTATTATTATTATTATTATTATTATCATTCTTATTATTATTATCATTATTATATCATTACTTTTATCTTATTATTACCTTTATCATTACCATTATCATTATTATTATCATCATCATTATTATTATCATTATTATTGTTATTATTATCATCATCATTATTATTATTTCTGCTACTACTTACATCACGATCATCATCAATATGACCATCATATTCATCATCTTCCTTACTACAATTCATATTAATGTTATTGTCATTATTTCTGCAACAATTACCTAATTACGCTATTTTTATCCTGTATTGCCACAACAAGTTATTATAAGTCTTCTATTGGCACTGCAATTCTTGTATAATTCATATTTTCCCCACATATGAAATTCTCCGCAGATCTATTGAGAAATAGATACGATCCCCCAAAAAACTCCTTCATAAATTCTTGGGAGATTTCCAACCTTGAGATATATATATATGTGTGTGTTCTTGATGTTAAATTAATTGTTGTTGTTTTTTTTTTCTATTTCACAGTTCAAGAGGATGCTTAACAAAGAACTCAGCCACTTCTCGGAATCTAGTAAATCTGGGAACCAAATATCGGAATATATCTGCACAACTTTCCTCGGTGAGTGTTCAGTCTCTCGGTGTTTAATAAGGGGTTTTGATTAGCTGTTGTCTTATATTTTTTTTTTAATGTTGGTTGGTGTGTATGATTGTCTTTTTTGTGTCCGTTTCTCTGATTGTACATATATATTTTTTCTCTCTCTCTGTCTGTCTGTCTGTCTCTGTCTCTGTCTGTCTCTCTTTCTCTCTCTCTCTCTCTCTCTCTCTCTCTCTCTCTCTCTCTCTCTCTCTCTCTCTCTCTCTCTCTCTCTCTCTCTCAATCTATCTGTCTATCGGTGTTTTTATCTATCCGTAACGATCCCTCTCTTCTCTCTCCTTTTCCTCTCGCTCCTCATCTTTCTCTTTTTCATTCCCTATTTCCTTCCTTTCCTCCTCTTTCCTTCCTTTCCTCCTCTTTTTCTTTTTCGTTTTCCTCTTTCCTCTCCTCCTCCTCTCACCCCCCACCCCTCTCTCTCCCTCCCACCTTCCTATCCCCAAGCTGTCACTCAACCGTTTGCCAATAAATGCAATAATCTCTCCCATACTTTCTAGATCATGAGACCAGCTCTTTTATTGTGGTCTGTAATCCGCAGTGTGCTCTTAAAGTCACAGGTCTCATTGTGTTCTTGTTGGGAAAGGAAAAAAAAATAGGGAGAGGGAGAGAGGGAGAGGAGGAGAGGGAGAGGGAGAGGAGAGGGAGAGAGAGGGAGAGATAGATAGATAGATAGATAGATAGAGAGATAGAGAGAGATAGAGATAGAGATAGAGATAGAGATAGAGATAGAGATAGAGATAGAGATAGAGATAGAGATAGAGATAGAGATAGAGATAGAGATAGAGAAAGAGAAAGAGAAAGAGAAAGAGAGAGAGAGAGAAGGAAATAAATGATGCTGACCTAATGCACTACTTATTGAGGTGCGCTCCTATGGCACAAAGTTCCACTGTGTCGTTAGCTATATCTATGCATTATTTTATATTATACACTATTTTTATGCCTATGCAAGTGTAAGATAATGCTTAACGATACTATGGCATTCTAACACAAAGGGAATGAGTTAAATATATAATTTCGAACTCGTCAAAAGCTCCTTATCAGATCTTTCTAAATCGGTCTATCTGTTTATTATATGTTCATGATCTGTAAGTCTACATACATACATATATACTATCTCGCTACTGCATTTAGTCTACATACATACATATATACTATTTCTCTACTGCATGTCTCTCTTTCTAAATCTGTTTATCTGTCTATTATATGTTCATAATCTGTTAGTCTACATACATACATATATACTAATTCTCTACTGCATCTATTCTACATACATACATATATACTATTTCTCTACTGCATGTCTCTATCCATCTACCTATCTATCCGTACGTTCTCTATACCCGTTCATTATTTATAGGCAGGAAGACAGACATATTCTTAATATAAAACCGATTTAGGCTCCTCTGACGCTACAATTCTCAGAACTGGCTGGCACCTCGCTAAAAGGGGCGTGTGGGGGGGGGGTGATAGGGGGAGGGTGTGAAGGGGGGGGAAAAGGGGGGGAGGAGGGAGTGGTGGGGAGTGGGGGGAGAAGAGGGGGGAGGGGAGGAGGGAGTGGGTGGGGGAAGAGGGGGGAGGGAGGAGGGAGTGGGTGGGGGGAAGAGGGGGAGGGAGGAGGGAGGGGGTGGGAGGATGATAGGGGATAGGTGGTGGAAATGGTGGGGGGGTAGGGAGGAGGGAGTGGATGGGGGGAGGGGAGGGCAAGAGGCTAATATTAGGGGCTGAGTGAGTCCCTCCTATCAAAAGACGATTTACTGGCTAGAGAGAGAAAATACCGGTATTTATTTTTTTTTTTATGAATTAGCGTTTTTTCGAGGGTGCATGTCTTCGTTTTTATATCTGTCCATTTATCTATTTATTGATCTCTCTCTCTCTCTTCTCTCTCTCTCTCTCTCTCTCTCTCTCTCTATATATATATATATATATATATATATATATATATATATATGTATATATATATATATATATATACAGGGTTTGTGTACCTGCTAGTATCTGCATTGTCTAGACTGTGGTGTTATTAACCCGCCTTCTTTCTCTTATTCTTTTTATTTCCTTTTTTTTCTTCTCTTCGTCTCTCCCCCTTCCTCTCCACCCCCTATCCCCCCTATTCACCCCCCCCCTTATCTGGCAGTCTTCCATAATTATCATAATAGAAGCATCATCATCTTTCGCCTTTATACGTAATTAACCTCCAGCAATGACATCGCCTTCCCGCCAAAACAAGAAGAAAAAAAAAAAGGTGGAGAGCATCGCGCTGTTTCGTTTAAAAAGGATTCGAACGCGATCGAAAAGGAATCGAATCGGACTCAATAGGTACTTCGCTCCGGCTCGGGTCTGTTGCCAAGCGTTTATAGCTCGGTCGGTATGGCTGGGACTTGGCGTGAGATTACAGTGATACTTGTCGTGGTTATTGTGTAAGTGTGGGGTTAGATATTTATAGGTATGGATATATGGATGGTGTGTG